CGTTGACTCGCAATGTTGCGTTCAACATAGCGAAGGAGAAGACCACGGCAGGTCTTATGGCAGCACTCTCAAATATGTATGAGAAGCCATCAGCCGCGAACAAAGTTCATTAGATGCGGCGGTTATTCAATCTGAAAATGACGGAAGGCGCGTCAGTAGCACAACACCTCAATGAACTTAATACGGTTACAACCCAATTGAGTTCTGTTGAGATTGAGTTTGATGAAGAAGTTCGGGCGTTGATATTGTTGTCTTCCCTACCAGAGAGTTGGAACGCTACAGTCACGGCAGTGAGTAGCTCATCGGGAAAGAAAAAGTTAAAGTTCGGCGACGTTCGTGATTTGGTTCTCAGTGAGGAGATCCGACGGCGAGAGACTGGTGAAGCTACAACCTCTTCAGTATTGCATACAGAGTCAAGAGGTAGAAATTCAACCAGAGGAAACGGACGAGGAAAATCAAACTACAGAGGTAGATCAAAGGACAGGAGGTCCAAATCAAGAAATCCAAGCAACAGCTCGAAGGCTATCGAGTGTTGGAATTGTGGAAAGACCGGGCATTACAAGAATCAGTGCAAGAGTGCACAGAAGGAGAAGGAGGCGAAGGCAGAGGTGAATGTCACCTCCACTTCAGGAGGAGACGACGCATTGATATGCTCTTTGGAGAGCAAGGAGGAATCTTGGGTGTTAGATTCAGGAGCGTCGTTCCACGCTACTTCTCAGAAAGAATTCTTCAAGAAGTATACTCCCGGAAATCTTGGATACGTATATCTTGGTGATGATCAACCATGTGCTATTGTGGGCAAAGGAGTGGTGAAAATTAAGTTGAACGGGTCAGTATGGGAGCTGAAGGATGTCAGGCATATTCCCGACCTGAGAAAGAATTTAATATCCGTAGGCCAGTTGGCTGGCGAAGGATATACCACGACCTTCCATGGAGATGATTGGAAGATCTCAAAGGGCGCAATGACAATTGCCCGAGGCAAGAAGACTGGTACCCTGTATATGACAGCAGGTGCACATTGTTCGATCTCAGTTGCAGCAAGCAATGAGACTTCAAAGCTGTGGCACCAGAGACTCGGTCATATGAGTGAAAAGGGGATGAAAATCATGCACACAAAGGGAAAACTCCCAGGACTGCAGTCAGTGGAGATGGATATGTGTGAAGAATGTATACTTGGAAAGCAGAAGAGAGTCAGCTTTCAGACAAGTGGCAGAACCCCCAGGAAGCAGAAGCTAGAGCCCGTTCACTCAGATGTTTGGGGACCAACCACCACTGCGTCGATTGGTGGGAAACACTACTTCGTGACTTTTATCGATGATCACTCTCAGAAAGTGTGGGTCTACTTTCTGAAGCATAAGTCAGAAGTATTTGAGGCTTTCAGGAGATGGAAAGCTATGGTCGAGAATGAGACCGGTCTGAGAATAAAGAAGCTCAGGACCGACAATGGCGGTGAGTATGAAGACACCGGATTCAAGAAGTTCTGCTATGAGCACGGAATCAGAATGGAGAGAACCGTGCCCGGTACGCCTCAGCAAAATGGTGTAGCTGAGCGGATGAACCGAACGTTGACAGAGAGAGCCAGAAGCATTCGAGTACAATCAGGCCTACCGAAGCAGTTCTGGGCAGAAGCGGTCAACACAGCAGCTTACTTGATCAACCGAGGTCCATCGGTTCCATTGGAGCACAGAATACCAGAGGAGGTATGGTGCGGAAAGGAGGTAAAACTCTCACATCTTAAAGTTTTCGGTTGTGTAGCTTACGTGCATATTAGTGATCAAGGCAGGAATAAGCTTGATCCCAAGTCAAAGAAATGCACTTTCATCGGCTATGGTGAAGATGAGTTCGGCTACCGCATTTGGGACAACGAAAACAAGAAGGTGATCCGGAGCAGAGATGTGATATTCAACGAGAAGGTGATGTACAAGGACATGCACAAGACAGATGACTCAGAGAGCGAGTCAATATTTGTAGATGCAGATGATGTCCCGAGTAACCTCTCGGAAGAACCCAATGCAGAGGGTCCTCAGCAAGAAGAGCCTGTTGGACAAGATGGTGCGCAGGAGCCCGACGCACCAGCTCCGATATTAAGAAGATCTTCTCGTCCTCCTGTACCCAACAGGAGATACATGAACTATCTGTTGTTGACAGATGGTGGGGAGCCTGAAAGCTTTGATGAAGCTTGTCAGTGTGGAGATGCGAGCAAGTGGGAGCTTGCAATGAAAGATGAGATGAAGTCTCTCATATCAAACCAGACGTGGGAACTAGCTGAGTTGCCCACGGGTAAAAAGGCACTCCACAACAAATGGGTGTACCGGGTGAAAGAGGAGCAAAATGGTTCCAGAAGATATAAGGCCCGGCTAGTTGTCAAAGGTTTCCAGCAGAAGGAAGGAATTGACTACACCGATATTTTCGCTCCCGTGGTGAAGCTAAATACTATCAGGACCGTGATGAGTATTGTAGCAATTGAAGATCTTCATCTCGAGCAGTTAGACGTGAAGACGGCGTTTCTTCACGGAGATCTAGAAGAGGAGATATACATGCACCAGCCAGAAGGTTTCTCAGAAGAAAAGAAGAAGAACCTGGTGTGCAGACTCAAGAAGAGCTTGTATGGCCTGAAACAAGCTCCAAGGCAGTGGTACAAGAAGTTTGACGGTTTCATGCACAAGGAAGGTTTCCACAAGTGCAACGCCGTCCACTGTTGCTACTTCAAAAGATATCAGTCCAGTTATATCATTCTACTACTGTATGTTGATGATATGTTGGTTGTAGGAGTCGATATGAAAGATATCATTCATGCACAAGGAAGGTTTCCAGAAGTGTAACGCCGACCACTGTTGCTACTTCAAAAGATATCAGTCCAGCTATATCATCCTACTGCTGTATGTTGATGATATGTTGGTTGTAGGAGTCGATATGAAAGATATCAAGAGTTTGAAGCAGCAGCTGTCAAAGGAGTTTGACATGAAGGACTTGGGTCCAGCGAAGAAGATCCTTGGAATGCAAATCACGAGAGATAAGAAGAGAGGTCTCTTGCAGTTATCTCAGACGGAGTACATCAACCGTGTTTTGCAGAGATTCAACATGGGCGACGCCAAGCCTATGAGCACACCCTTGGCTAGCTATTTTCGTCTGTCGAAGGATCAGTCTCCTCAGTCAGAAGAAGAGAAAGAGAGTATGGCTCAGGTTCCTTACGCCTCAGCTATCGGAAGCTTGATGTACGCAATGGTCTGTACGAGACCAGACATTGGCCATGCAGTGGGAGTGGTCAGCCGGTTTATGTCGAATCCAGGAAAAGCTCATTGGGAAGCGGTCAAGTGGATTCTGAGATATCTACGAGGCACCACACAGAAGTGTTTGCACTTTGGTAAGGAAGAGGTGGAAGTGCAAGGGTACGTAGATGCAGACTTCGGCGGCGAAGTTGATCACCGAAGAAGCACCACCGGCTATGTATTCACCGTTGGAACTACAGCTGTTAGTTGGATGTCACAGGTACAGAAGATCGTTACCCTATCCACTACAGAAGCTGAGTATGTTGCAGTGACTGAAGCCAGTAAAGAGATGATATGGCTTCAGGGTTTGTTAACAGAGCTGGGATTCAAACAGGAGAAGAATGTTTTGCACAGTGATAGCCAGAGTGCGATACACTTGGCGAAGAATTCAGCATTTCATTCTAGAACGAAGCATATTGCGCTTCGGTACCACTTCATCAGATCCCTGTTGGAAGATGACGTGTTGAAACTGGAAAAGATTCCAGGAAGTAAGAATCCAGCAGACATGTTAACAAAGACGGTGACAGTTCAGAAACTGGAGTTGTGCGCAACTTCAGTTGGCCTTCATGCATAGATGATGAGGGCGGAGCCACACAGAAGAGGAACTTGATGAGATAGCCCGTCGGCGTCGGTTTGGTCTCCAAGTGGGAGATTGTTAGTTGGGGTGGATACAAACCTCCGGCGGAGGAGCTCCGACGAGCTCCAGATTGATGCAAGGCGAGCGTCGACTCAGCGATTTCGACGACGAACGCGATGGTGGCAGAGCGAACGCGACCCTCGGCTATGCGAACGCAATCCTCGGTGTTCGAGCGCTCGACCTTCGCGTCAGGCGATGACGACCATCGCGTCTTCGCCTCCCACCCTCGCGTCGGACATCGCTGGCGACAGGCTGTCGCCAGCTCACGAATCTCGGCTATAAAAACCCCCCTTCGATGCCCTAGATCGCTGCTCCTCCCCGATTTTATTTCTGGCGGCGGATGCCCTAACGTAGCAAGCGTTCCCCCTTTGAAATCGCAGCAGCGATTTAACTTCCCAAATCTCCAGCTCTCATTTGGTTTGAGGGGAGATTAAGAAAAGGGATTTAAGAAGAGAGAGAAAAGAGAAGAGGGGATTTAAGTGTGGGTATTAAACACTGTAGCTACAGTGTTTGTTTGAGGAATCTCAGTTTAGAGATTTGCTCTTAATTTGTAATTTCTTGTTAGATTAAATAAGAAATTAACTGTGTGGCTCCCGAGGACGTAGGCAGTTGCCGAACCTCGTAAATCTTGTGTACTGTTCTCTATTCTGCGTTTTTCGTTGCATTAGGGATTTCGGCCTTTAAATTCCCAACAATCTATACATTCTTAAATCTAAACACACCAAATTTGGGGTGAACCCGTCGTGTTTTGACCCTTCGTTGAGCCGTGCAAAAAGTTCTATTCATTTGAAACCGTTAAAATTGCGGTGAGTGGATGAAGACACAACCCCAACATTCTTGACCTAGTTTTAATGCATAAATCATGTTTCGCCAAGTAAATATGACCACCACACTTATAATCTACCAACTAAGCTCCCAACATAAAATTGCACAAAGACCCGTAAGAAATGCAACGACCATGTGCTTTTGGGGTCAACGCAAGTCGAGCATTCTCATCTCCTTCAACTCTCATCAACATCAAAACCCCAATTTATCTCAAAACGTACAAGACCAGAAGAAAGGTAGATAGCACCCAGAAAGAGAAAAATACGTACATATAGTAGAAGAAAGCAGTGGGAGGCTTCTTGGGTTTCTTCGGGTCATCAGCAGCAGTGGGTCTCTTCCTGGGCCTGGGCTTCTTCGGCTGCTTGTTGCTGTTGCCGCTGATGATAGCGAGAGCACTGGAGTTGTCGCTTGCCTTGGACTCTCTTGATTTTGACCTCGTCTTCATCCCTCACTATTTCTCTTTTAATTTTCTCTAATTTCTCTTTTTCCCTTTTTCCCCCCTTTTATTTTTCAACCCTCCGAAGAGACTTTATTAGCATACAAGGACTGTTGTTGTCAGCTAAGAAATTCTTCGGAAAAACAAAAGGAAAAAAAAAATGGGACAAACCTTTTTATTAGGGAGAAGAAAGAGGGAGAAGAGGAAGGGGCGGAGTCGAGGAATTCATAATTTGCCTGCGGCTGTAGAGGAGTTGATGAGGGGTGCGGAAGGGGCGGAGTCGAGGAATTCATAATTTGCCTGCGGCTGTAGAGGAGTTGATGAGGGGTGCGCCGCAGCTGCCTCTTATTGGGCTGAACTGCTTTCTCTTGTTGGGCTCTTGTTTGGTTCGCTTGGAAACGTTTGGGCTTGAAATTGGCAGCTTCGGTTGAACGCAAAAACTGGGCTTAGTCGAATGCTTGTTTGTCTATGGGAAAGTAAATGAATACTACACTTCACGGTGCGAAGCCTACCAGAACGCAACGCACTGTGCGGAACATTCCGAGACATAGAAATGTGAAAACATAAGGGCAGTATTGACATTTTCATTACCCTCAGGATGCATCAACTCACCCTACTACATAAGGTGTTCTGATAGGCTATGAAGCACGGACACGGGCACGGCGACACGGACACGACACGGACACGGATACGGCAAAACCCCAAAAAATAGGATACGGCGACACGGCTAAATTTTTAATTTTCACTACTTTCATCTTGAGCATATAAAAATACAAGAGAATAAAGTTCAAGTTGCAACTAGTTCAATGACTACAAAATACTAAGTTACTAACATTACAAAAATATAAAAATTACACTCAAAAGCATATCTTAAAATAAAGTTTTCAAGTTGAAACATCAAAAAGATTATTCTATGGATTCAACTCTTTCATCCTTATCAAACACAATGGCCTCCATCGTGGGCTCGTCAAGAGAAAGGGCAGCAACATCTAACATGCCGGCTCCTTGAAATGAGTCGAAGTCATCTCCACCAATATCCCACATTCTTGATTCCCCTTCCATATACTCTTCCGAATTCCGAGAAAGTAAACGAAGGTTGGTGTGAACATAAACAAGATCCTCCGCCCGTGTCGGGGTTAGCTTGTTCCTCTTTAAGGAGTTAATGAAACCATACATACTCCAATTCCGTTCACAACAAGAAGAGGAACAAGGTTGGCCTAGAAGCTTTATGGCCAATGCTTGCAAATTTGGAGCACTTGCACCATAAAGAAGCCACCATGACTTTGGATCCATATGTCCTCTATCGGAAAGAGAATCCGGATCACCAAAAGCCTCCAAAGACCCCACAAACTTAGCATATTCCAAGTTCACCACCAATCGTTCATCGGGGTTAGGATAATATCTTCTTAAGCACTTTGATCTTTCTGTAGAGATCTCAAGATCTTGATTTGGAGGTTGCCGATTGACGTTCTCATTGAGCCATGTGGAATGATAGTACCTATGTTTGTGAGAAGAAATTCATGTATTAAAATTAATTGAAATATTCGCATTAAAGAGTAAAATGTGAAATATTACCTTGGAACTAAAGAGTGCCAAGCACTGAAGCGGGGTGTTGCCCTTGTTCCATCGATCCACCAAGATCTTGTGAACCACCTCATAAAAAGGAGATTCCTCGTTATCCTTTTTACCCTCATGCCTGTAAATAGCTTGCTTCACCTTCTCAATCATTGTATCACACATATCATACACCAAATGAAGACATGGTGTATCGGTGTCGGTGACCCTTATCATTTCATAGATTGGGCCGGTGAAGTCAAGAATAAAATCTATCTTGTCCCACCATAAATCATCGAGGACTTTCTCTTTCACAAATTGAGCTTTCTCCACATCATCGTCTCTATATAAGCTCCATCGATCACTAAGGACCATGTCTTGGAGGCCTCTCTTGACGACCTTAAACCTCTTCAACATAATAATCCACGAGGCAAATCTTGTGTCGGCAATTGATAGGAGGTTCATCTTGGAAAAATCATTGAATATGGAAAGCCGCATAGAGTGGTTCATGATAAAATTCTTCATAAACGATGCATCATCGGAGATCTCTGTAATCCAATGTAATTGTGCATAAGCCACGGCATTTGCTTCCGTGTTCTTAGCCGCACAAATATTCTTGACAGCAAGATTGAGTGTATGGACTACACAAGGAGTCCAAAATATGTGAGGCCAAGTTTGCTCCACAAGCCCTCCCGCGGCCTTGCATGCCGAAGCATTATCGGTTATGATTTGGATGACATTTTTCGGTCCCACCTCTGTGATGCACTTTTCTAGCTGTGTTTGGATAAAATACTTATTCTTGACTTCTCCCTCGGTAGCCAGAAATTGGATTGTTTGCGGCATATGCAAAAGCTTTGGCATAATATGGATTCCTTGTCAAGTTGAAGGACAATCCCCCGGTGAAGAACATCCTACCAATCAATGCATCCAATTCCTCCCTTGCTCCCATGTTGAATGCTTGTTCCACGGTATTAGGCCCCCTCCTCCTCTTAAATCCACCTGCATCAATCGGCATGCTTGCACTTGCACCTACACCGGCTGTACTTGCAGTCGAAGATATAGACAAAACTGGCATCTTAGACCTAGAAGCCCCCAACCTCGCCTCCGCTTGATCCAACGTCCTTTGAAACTCCCTTAGGTTTTTGGGTGTTGACTTGGAACACATCTTAATTCCAGTCCCGCTTATCCTCAAGAGGTGATTTTTAACTCTTGAGTGTGAACCGGTAAAATCCTCTCTGCAATAGTTACATCTCCATCTCCAATTTCCTCCCGCCGTTCTCCCCCTTTTCTCCAATTTGGTAACATATTTTCAAAGCGGACATTTGTCATCTTGTACTCCACTGCTACTAGAACCCCCTTCTTGTTCCATTTCTGTAAAATACAAAAGCAATAAATTAAAATCAGATCTAGTAAAATAGTAACAAAAAATTATTGTCCCAATTAACACCCAACTGTTTTACCCTAATTAACAAGCAACAGCAAAGCAGTAAGCATAAATCACTGTACTAGTTAACTTCTAACAGTAAGACAGTAACCAGAAATCACCAAAATCAGCATATTAATTAACCCAACAGCAGCATAGTAACCGAAATCAGCATATTAATTAACCCAACAGCAGCACAGTAACCAAAATCAGCATATTAATTAACCCAACAGCAGCACAGTAACCATTGCCAGTATTTAAATTAACCCAACAGTAGCATATTAATTAATCCCCAACAGTAACATAGTAGCCAAAAAAAATTTAAAACAGCGTGGTGGGGGGCAGCGTCACTTTGGAAGTAGTGGGGGTCACGTGGGATCTCTGAGAGAGAGTGGGAGAGAATAGTAGGTTGTCGGGTGAGTGGGAATTGAGTGGGGTTTTTTTTATGTAAAGGAAGTTCACAGGGGCTCTTGTGTGGTGAGAGGGAGATAAAAGAGAGAGAAGGAGAGAGGGAGAGAAAGAGCTGAGAGAGAGAAAGAGAGAATCAGAAAGAGATATGAGAGAGATTGATCGGGGGGAGAGAGAGAGAGAGAGAGCAACTGAGAGAGAGAGAGAGCGAGAGCGACTGACCTTGGATGATCGACGACGACGACGAAGCTGACGGGGATGATCGACGACGAGGAGGAGGACGGGACTGAGAGCTGACGACGAGGACGAGACGAGGACGAGGACGAGGACGAACTATTGATCGCGGGTAAGTTTTGATTTCTGACGAGTGACGGCTAGGGTTAGGGTTTTTGGTTTCTTTAACTTTGAAATTGGGTTTCGGGTTTGGGTTTCAGGTTTGGATTTTGGGTCTAGGTTTTGCCGTGTCAGGAATGGAATCGCCATGTCCGACCCGTGTCTGCGGCGAGTCGAGCCGTTGACCCGTGTCGCCGCCGTTGACCGCGTGTCCGACGCGTGTCGAACGCGTGTCCGCATCCGACACGCGTCGGAGACGAACTCGCCGGCTGTTTTGAAGAGTCGGTGCTTCTTAGCTGATAGGAATTGTGCTCTAGATTCTAGGGGCCATTGCAGATAGATGTATTCTCACCAAATCGAACGTATTAAACCTCATTTTGTACGTCGGAATCGAGCCACTGAGAATGAAACGCTCACGCTCTTTCTCGTTCTGACGCTTGACTGTTATTAGGGAGTCAGAATATTTTTAGAAGTTTTTTCATTTTTTACTTCTCACTTAAATGAGAATGCTCATTCCTTAGCAACTCAAATGCTCATTCCCACTTAATCAAGTGGTAATTATCATGTAAGTGGGAATGACTATTTCAACTTCAAAAAGCATATTGTGTTTGGTACACTTGAATGAAAGTAGGACATGAGCATTCCATTCCAATTCATTACCACGTATTAAACTAGAATTGGAAGTGTTTTATCGTTGCAGATAGACCCCTTGAGTGAAAATCTATGATTACGTATAGACCCCTCAAAAGAGGTCAAAAGATTTTCGCTCAGAGAGTCTATCTCCAACAATAGAACTACATGGATAGTAAGCTTAACTCGGGCGAAAGAAGGTCTAAAAGTGATTTTGTTTTCTATTTTTGTTGAAAGTTAATCCTAATTCTATTGGGTTTTGAGTTAGATATCTTTAGAAGTTTTTATTTATCGGAGTTTGGTATCGAGTTATCATTAGAAGTTTGGTTATCTTTGAGTTTGTTAGTTTCAAATTAGATTCGGCAGTTCATATGTTTAGGAATTAGCATATATAACTTTGCTTCTGTTACCTTTTAGGAGTTATGTTTATATTAGAAGCCTTTTATCATGTAACTTGTAAAGCCAATAAATCTTCCTGTGACCGTGGATATGCAGTAAGAAAGGGCCAGAGAGCTTAATACAAATTGTCTTCTTTTGTTTCTATTTTTCTCCTTATATACATACATACATACATACATACATACATACATAAATATTGATTGTAGCTGCTCCAACAGTAGTATAAGAATCATGAACAATCTAAACGGGACAACATCGCCTTTTATTCCTATATTGGATGGGAGGAATTATCACCAGTGGAGAGTGTAGATAATGATGTTGTTTGAATATTAAGATATACCGGGTGTCATAGAGAATGGAGTTGCCAATCTCCCAGAGAGCGCAAGTGAAGCCGAGAAGAAAGCCCACAGCGAGAATAAAAAGAAGGATCATAAGGCGTTATTCTTCATCCATCAAGAAGTAAATGATTCGGTATTTAAGAAGATTGACTGAGCAACTACAGCAAAG